TATCTGTTGAGAAGACCTAGGATTAAGCTCAAGTATTTGTTAAATATGTTTTACTGAACAATGCAAGTCAAAACACACAGGAAATTTAAGTCTCTCTTCTTCAAACAACTTTCTATTCATACTGTAACTTCAAAAATTTTTCATCTACTCTAAAGATGCACTAAAAGTCCCCCCCGAATTCCATTTGTATAAAAATTAATAATAATAAAACCACTAACTATAACAGTTATCTTAAGTGCTTTTGAGGTACCTTACCCAGGTTTATAACCAGTTAGTCTGGCTAAGAAGTCAACGAAGTAAGCTGGAATATTGTGTTCCACCATTTCACAAATGCTGTTCAACCACCAATAATGTTTAAAACTCCCACCAGGGTATCGGAACACCTGCATGCTAGGATGTTTCACAACAAAAGGATAAGCTAATTTTTCAATTTGTCCCCATGTCACCTTAACAATGGATCCTGTGGTGCAGTTGTATACCATTATGTTGTTTGGTCTAGATAAAATAATATAAAATGTTAGTCTTTTCAGATTAAAGTATAAAACTTGACAACTCCTAATTTCCAGAAGTTTATATTACACCCTGACAGAAGTAAAATTTTAAAACTGAGTAGAAGCACAAATTAAGTAACACATAGAATAAACACTTGTACTAAAATATTAAACTCAGATAAATGAATAACAGAAATAATTGTAATAAGATATTTTTGATAAATAAAATATAGTTAAAAATCAGGTATTACATTTATTGAAAGCTTTTCTAACTAAAAATATTGAAAAGTCGCCATCAAAACAATGTACTAAATGCTGTTGTTTAAAATGACGAGGAAACTTATTAGGCCTAACAAATTATTTGAAAAACTACATTATTCTTTAATTCTTAGTTCATTATGAATTTTATATCGGATTGCAATTTTCTAACAGCCTCAACTTAGGTTGAACAAATACACAACTAATCCAATATTTACAATCAACAATTAGGAAATGTTGGATAAAGATTACTTGCTTCTTTATGGCAGTGTTCCAGGCCACAGCAATTAGCATATTTACTACAGTATCCACAGGTACTACATCTGCTCCAATATTACGGTTTGCTGTCATAGTCCTTAAAACTCCTTTTCCAGTCTGGATAAAATATCAAGAAATTTACCAAATTAAGTAGACAGGTGAATCTGTGTTGAGACATTTTTTTAAAAAATTACCAAAATTGTTACCATAACAATAACAGTAATAGACAAAAATATCAATGCTGTAAATATCCTAACACTATTATGAAATGGTGACAAACAATCACTAGCTATGTGCTGACCAAATATGGCATCTTCACTGCCAACAGTGGTTGCCATTCTTGTCTGCCTGCACAAATGAGCATGTAATATGCAGCCACTGACACACATTTATCATTTGATGTGAGCAATGATGATCATATGGAAACCATTCAACATGCAATGTGGCAACAGCCCAGACGTTCTTCTAACACACTGCATACAGCAGGATCATATCAGATTATTCTTCTACTGAATATTGTGCCAATATTTAGATGATTTGGGAGCATATGAAATGCTGTTTTTGTGTGCTACTTTACATGATTTTTTTGGGATCCTTCAAAGATGCAATGACCTGTTTATGCAGAATTCTGACCTTGCATCTCAAACTTAGGTTTGTGAAACAATTCCTTTGCTATGGTCACATTTTGATCTTCTGTGGAACAACTCCCTATGCATGGAACTGGTGCATTTATATCTGAAACTGTTGTTTTTGAGAATACAATGCTAGTAATATATGGTATAAAATGTTTCGTTTGTCATTGTCTACGATTTGCCCTGAACACTTTGGGTGTATGATGCTATTATAAAACCTTGGAAGAAAATTACCTTGAATAACCTCAATGATATTGGCACAGGGTAAGCTCGCAACACCTTTTTCCATATTACAGACAATTATTTTCCATTACTGAATTATTAGGCCTTTCAACGTACTTATGAATCACTCTGTATAATAAGAAACAGGTCATGTTTAGTTTCTTGCATAATAAATAAGAGCTACAATAAATTAATTGTAACTGAACTATGATAATAAGTAACAGATGGTGTGTTTTTACTTGTAAATTAGCTAGTATCTAATATCACTTTTGAAAAGATACTGTTTTTTAATTACATGACAAAAAGAAAAATAAATACTTACAGCAACTATAAATCCAGATGGGCCATTCAAATTATCCACCCAGCCCTGTAAAATAAAAATACCTTATTATAAACAAGATGTAGAGGCGTTCATTATGATTAATTTATTTTCTTTCAAGAATTCTTAAGTTCTTAATATACATAAAATGTTTAAATTTTACAAATGGTAATAAGATCAACTTACAAGATTTGGAGTAACTCATAATTTAGTAACCAACAATAAAGGAAATTAGTTTGTTGTATTACTCTATACAAACAAAGTATTTTTATTATAAAATCAGAAAGAAGTTTCTCTACTAATTAAGATGTCCTTCCTTAGAAAGAAAGATGTAACATACATATACTAAAGTTTCCATTCAATTTCCCATGCATTTTTAATGAAGTTATGCACCAACTGAGCACCTCTCTTTTACCATACACTTACCTTTTTATCATACCACCTGTTTGCACTCTCTTATTACCAAAAGAAAGACATGTTTTCATGTTTTTATTTAAAATATGCAGTTTTTGGACTAGTTTTCAAATCTATATGATGCTTGGTACAATGTCCTTTTTTGCAAGGTACAGTTGTTGAATCTTAACCACTTTTGACTGAATCAGTCAGTTGGGTCTAAGACAACCAACAATCCTACACAATCATCTTTTCTTAAATATTCATTTAACTGGTTATTCTCATAACATGTCCTTTCTAATGTATCCTCCAAATACATTTTCTCAAAAAATGTATAATATTTAAATCTTTTTTTTTTTCACAGTTTAAGTTTGTTTGTTTTGTAGCAAAGCCACATTGGGCTATCTGCTGTGTCTATCGTGGACAATTGAACTCTCGATTTTTTTGATTTTTTACTATTGCAAGTCTGTAAACTTACTGCTGTCCCATTGGAAGACCACAGTTTAAGAAAATTATGAACTTTCTAATAGCTGGGATGCTGTACAAAGTTTCCAAATTATGTATTAACACACAGAGAGACTTATATATTCTTACAGGAATAGGTTCTTGCCAGGCAGCAGTAACAATCGATGGACGGACAATGGCCAGTGGTATATTGCCACATTCTTGTACTAAAAGGTTTTCTGCCAGGGACTTGGTGTAGTGGTAGCTACATGGTCTTCCATCTTCAAGATGAGGACTAATTGTACTAAGCAAGTCATCATTCATCCATCTGTTGGTGGAGGTTGTTCAGAACTCATGATAAATGCATTATACTTATAAATATTATAATATAATATAAAAGAGACAAAACCATGAAGAACAGAAAAGCATGGTAAACAGTAATGTTTAATATTCTTAGATGAAAAAAAGACCGTTAAACTTAGTGTTGAAATTAGAGTAACTTTATGACAAAAACCAGTGATATTTCATAAACGTATTATTTTTGAATGTACAGAGTACTAAAGTTTAAGCTGAAATTTCACACTTTGATAATATACGTTTTTTTTAAATGAAGCAAGTTTGAGAGCCTTCTTTTTGAAATAAAATGTATGCTTAAAATATTGATTGATTTTAGATTCACTTACTGAGTAGCATCAATGATCTTCTGGTATGGCACAGCTTCTGGATACACAACTTCATCAATTACTTTTCTGTTACAGTGACTGTAGGCTGTTGAAGTATGGACAAGGACCTGTGGAAACAAGTTTACTTTTTCTTAGACAAATTCACATTATTCAGATAATAGAATACATTGAAAGTCCATTTATGAGAATTAATGTCATAAATGTAGTAAAGCTTACCTCTAGGTGTTCCATTTTCTTACAAAGCTCCAACAGTCTTCTGCATGCAAGCACATTGATGTTAACATATTGCCTGCAGAAATACCTTATGTTTTATACAAATTTTAAACAAATTTTATCTCTTTCAATATAGTCAAAATGCATCTATTAAAATATATCAAAATCTGTTAAAATGTTTCATTTACTTTACAACACTTAGTATGATAGCTCAAGTAAAATCATACAGTGGTTTGAAAAATGGGGCTTAACGTGAATAACTAATATTATTGGCTTCACGTCAGTTGTCACAGCTTAAAGAACTGCCAATTTCAACCCTCCATAAACTAGTATGAAATAATTTTATTACAAGTTACAGCTTGTACAGTAAATAAGATTTGTATTTAGAACAGGTTCGACATTTCCATCACTGGTAAGATCATTCTCAAGTACACAAGTTTTAACAGTAAAGAACGAATTAGTATTTAAATAAACAATCTAACAATGTATTTTAGGTCTAGAATTGATAATGGTTACTTTATGCAGGTGGTTAGGGCGCTCGACTCGCAATTTGAGGGTTGTGGGTTCGAATCCCCGTCCCACTAGACATGCTCGCCCTTTCAGCCATGGGGGTGTTGCGTCATCAAGGTCACGTGACTGGTGTTGCGCCCTCTAGTTTCTAGAACTATCTTGTTCTTTCATGAATGCTCTAGTATTTACTAGATAGGGTAGGCTGGTATATATAAAAGGGTGACGGAAGGTAATGTGAGTGAGTAGATAGTGAGTAATTGAACTGCAGTCACAGGGTATTGTTGAAGTTAACGTTCGTTCGTTATAGTGTTTGTTTTAGCGCGAATATTGAAATAAGTGTATCGGTAAAGTTATATTCGGAAATAATAAATCAGTTTCATTAAGAAAGGACTTGTGTCGCTTAAGTTTCGTCGGAACGAAGTTACGGAAAGTTAATTAACAAACGGAGACGTAACAGGAGCGTTATAAGTGACAGTCAATCCCACTATTCGTTGGTAAAAGAGTTGGCGATGGGTGGTGATGACTAGCTAGCGTAAATAGCTCTCGTGTAGCTTTGCGAGAAATTCAAAAACAAACGTATGCATGTACATATCAATCCGCGTGAATTGACAGATTATTTATTTATGGTTAAACAGAAACAAACAAAAGTGTATAAATATACATAAAACAACAACAACAATATAACATGTTGTGCGGCCCGGCATGGCCAGGTGGTTAAGGCACTCGACTCGCAATCTGAGGGTCGCGGGATCGAATCCCTGTCACACCAAACATGCTCGCCCTTTCAGCCGTGGGGGCGTTATAACGTGACGGTCAATCTCACCAGTCGTTGGTAAAAGAGTAGCCCAAGAGTTGGCGGTGGGTGGTGATGACTAGCTGCCTTCCCTCTAGTCTTACACTGCTAAATTAGAGACGGCTAGCGAAGATAGCCTTCGTGTAGCTTTGCGCGAAATTCAAAAACAAACAAACAAACATGATATGCAACATATTTGCATAAGATTACGACTGTGGGGGGAAATAAGGACCAAAGACATATAGAGATGTGCCTGGATATTTGTTAATTGTGGGATTTTATTTTATTAATAAAGCTATCTGATTTTTCTTCTATTAATGTCAGATTCATGTTTTAATACTGTGACATTCTGTTCAGAAAAACTGACCCCAGTGGCACAGCGGTATATCTGCGGACTTACAACGCTTGAATCCGGGTTTCGATACCCGTGGTGGGTAGAGCACAGATAGCCCATTGTGTAGCTTTGTGCGCAACTTCAAACAAACAAACAATCAGAAAAACTGTTTGTTTTTATTCACATGCTCATGGACTTGGGAAGGGGGTTTTTGGTGTTCTTTTAACCTGATCTTAAAGTTGCGTTCTGTTTCACCTTTATAAAAGGCTGGGCAATTGTTAAAAATTTATGCATGTTATATATATATATATTCAATTTTGTTTTTGTTTTTTTCTGCTTAGCTATAAATAAATAATCTGTCAATTCACGCGGATTGATATGTACATGCATAAGTAACCACTATCAGTTCTAGAAGTAAAATACATTGTCAGATTGTTGAGTGTTGATTTAAATACTAATTCGTTCTTTACCGTTAAAACTTGTGTACCGCACCAATCATCGAAACGTCGTACCTGTTCTAAATACAAATCTTACTTACTGTAAAAGCTGTAACTTGTAATAAAATATACTTAATGAGTAAGTAAACTCAAAACCAAACTACTGTATGAAATACATTTTTCAGATATATTCAGATAATTTTTCTAAATGTTTGCATGTGTTCTGCAAGTAATTAGCGTTTTTTGGGTAAACTGAACGTATAAACGTCGTAGACGTGAACTATTTCCGTTGCTACCAACTTGGCCCATCTCCGAGTCAGTAACGTGGAGTGAAATTATGCTCAAGGGATGATGGAGAACCTTCTACAAATTAGTATAAGTTGGAGCTTCTTCCCTTATACACGCACCCAACCATCATTTATTTAAGGAAGGGGCTCATTTTCAATTCACCAATTTTTAAGTCTCACTATAATAGACGTAGCGTGTATGTCAGTATCTATGTATGTAACCTAAACTCCTGCATCATCTGTTGAATGGCACCATAAACAAAAATCCATACACAATTTCATAGATTGGGTATTCAAGATTCAGATAATTAGAAAAATAACTGTGTATGTGCAACAACCATTTCTTTATAATAGTACACAATTTTATATAAAAGTACTCTCCTCACAACAAGAACACGACTTTCGCTAGAACTGTACGTGAGGTTTGATTATATCTTTATTAAGGTAAGTTTTAAATGTAGAACTGAAAAACTGGAGTTCTTAAAAACTTATTTTTTTTCAATAAAGGGTACCACTTTTCATATATAAAAACAGTACATTTTATATAAGAAAATTGATGAAAATTTTGAGCTCTGTACATTGAATCATTTTGATGCAATGAGTTGCGTATGACTAAAGAGCACAATCCAAATACTTTTCCCGTGCAGTACTTCCCAGAAAAAAAAAATATTTTTATAAAACGTTCACTTTTTCTAAATATTTTTCAATGAAGTATGAATACTACGATTAGTAATTACTAGCACAAACAGTCGCTCGTTGGGCAGCGTTTCTACTAGTTATATATTGATTAAAGTCCACCATGATAATCACTGAGAGGGTAACAAACATACAAGTGTATGTATTTCTCGTTGTTTTAAAGTAGTCCAGATTAAAGATAAGTATTCGCTATTCAGCTATCACTTTTTCTAGTGTATAATTTTTGGCACAAACTTTAAAGGTTTGTAACAACCCCTCCTTTTAATTACATGCTTGCCTTTGCATATATTTATTTGGAATGACTACTGATGTAGGTAATCTAAGGAATGCAGGATGCTGCTAGAACCTCTATCTAACATAAAAGTGTGGTGGCTCTTTTATTTTTCCTTTCTATATACGTATTTACTTATATATTATCCCAGCTCTTGGATTTTTCCAAGCCCGTTCCCTTGGCTGTGGTTTCGCTAGATAGTAGATAGGGACAGTGGGAATCTCGTTAATCCATTCATGCGCGTCACTAATTAGATGACGAGGCATTTGGCTACCTTAAGAGAGTCATAGTTATTGTGTAATAAATAAATAAATTGTGTAATAAATGTATGTAGCTCCTATGCACCTTAGGTGCCAGCTTATTTTGTTTTTATCAATAAATATTTTGTTCATTTGCACGCTTGTATATTTGTATTTCTCATCAGTGTTTAAAATACTATTCTTCGTAATATTTTCGGAACATTTGTTTTTCTTGCAAATACTTGCTTACTATGTTTGTTGAATATCAAAGTTTAGTCTAGACTTAATCCGCATTATATCAAATAAAAATCAAATAATCAGCAAGTTATATCACTACGAAAAATATGAAATAGCTTGTGACTCTGGAAAAGTATTTTTGCAGCAACGTAAATTTGTAGCAAAAATCTGTCCAAATTTTTCTAAAACAACTTTCAAGTAAAACACCCTGTGGGAAATCGGGGCTATAAGCACTTAATTTGTCCATAGCATTTGCAACATTCAATTCTGATCAGAAATAGATCTCAGAAGCGGTACTGAGAACCAATATAAAACTTTTTTGTACCATATTATGAATATTAAATATTGTATTGTAGTACAGTTCTTACAAGAATCATTAAGATTTTTAGATTATAAAATATCCTTAAAAAGCAATCGAGGGGGGAGAGCGGAAAGTTTGTTTATTCACTACATGTACTCGCCCTGTATATATACCGTGTACTGGCATAAACGTTACGAAAAATTCATCCCTGATTCTGAAAATATAGCTTTAATTCAATAACTCGTGTTGCTGTACAATTGTTAAATACGTTAAAAATTTACAATGTCGAGCTTGGGATCAATTTCTTTCAAATACCAGAAATAACTTAACTGCACCTATCAGACAAACTTGCAATAATTTATTATCAAAATAATCAAATAGCTGTGTTAAAAACATCTAACAAAAGATAACATAACATACTGATGCGTAACTGTGCTCTGAATTTCCTTACTACATATTAACTCTTAAATTCAAAGTATACTTTTCTTCATAAAAAAATACTGTAGCATTCGACTGAAAATTACAGAAATCAATTAAGGTAAATGGAATGGAATATACTTAGAAAATTCTATATCAAAATTTCACATACTAGATTAGCAATTCAGTTTACTACCTTACAAAGAATTAAAAGTATATGTATTTATATATATAGTAACCTGAATGGTTCGTCAAATCTAACGGTTGCGGCACAGTGAAAAACCAACGATATACTCTTCATTAACAGTTTTTGGTCATTAGCGTTAATGCCTAATTCAGCTTCTGTGATGTCACCGCTAACTGGAATTATTTTGTTTAATGAAGAAGGACTTTCTCTTCTAATCCTATCGAACACCTAAAGAAAATACAAAAATACTCACTATGGAAGTACTTATAAAAAATAGAGGTAATTTAAAACTATAATTACTTAAAATTGTAGCAAAAATTGGCTGTACATAGTCGCCTGGCTGTATTATTACGAATTTAACGTGCATGCGTTGTTTTGAATCTTAAACGAAACAAAGCCTAACAAATGCAAATATTCGTAAAATAATAATAATATACACAATTCTAAAAGTGTGATTACTACCAACTAGTCATGTCACAAGGTCAATAAAAATTTCACTATTTCAACGAATTTTCATCTAAGTAAGAAAATGACTTTTCGAGACAAGCGTACAGAAATAAATGACGAACCTTATCCCTCTAATTCTTTTACAGAACTCTTCTGTCTGGGGTTCCAATGATGATTCCTTTCTTGTACCGAAAAAGATACTAGTATATATATAAAACGGATGATGCACTACTTTAGGCATATATTTGAGGGTAGGTTTGTAGAGATTCTGATGAATAATAAAATCGAATCGGGGGTACGCGCGCCCTACGCTTGGTATTATCGCTGGCGTACAAAAATATAGCGAATAAAAAGGAAACAAACAAGTATAATAAAAGTTTTTATAAAGGCAAGAAGGAGTCGATATATATTGTTGCGTCAGCGAGGTCACGTGACTAGTATCACGCCACCTCTTTCTAGAAATATCCTGTTCCTTCAAGAATGCCCTAGCATTTAC